CCTAGAATCCCCCAGTGAGGGCCTGTGGGCGTGGCTCAGTGGTAGAGTACTTTCTTGGCATGCTCCAAGGCTTGAGTTCTATCTCCTGCTCCACAAATGAGTAATTAAATAACTAAAGATATGAAACTAACATTAATAGTATATTTTATTTAATTCAACATATGTGGCTTCTCTATGTTCTCAGGTGACATTTTTCAGAATTTAGTTAATACGTAACAATTATAAATATACAATTTTCACCCTGCTTCCCATGATACCTTTTATCCTGAAACTCCATTTGCTAGACACATCACAGTTCATGTCTGGAAGGAGAAATCAAGACTGCCCCTGTGGTTAAATAGGGTAGACACTGCATAGAGGTCATCTCAGGGTCCCCTTTACATAGTGGCTATCATAGCTCTATTTATGTGGCATCTTCAAACATGTAACGTGTCATTGTAACCAAATTCATTAGGTGACAGTTTTCTAATAAATGCTAAAAAGATGGCATGAGGAAAGAAAAGAGAAAACTTGTTTTAAGTATTTTTTAAAGAGCATTTAGGACAGGCTTCACTATTGGAAGTGCTGAAGAAGCAGACATAAAACACAAAATCCTATGGTCAGGGCTGGAGAGGTACTTCAGCTGTTAAGAGCCTGGCTAATCTCAAATTATGTTCCTAGCACCCACATCTGTAACTCCAGCTCCAGGGGATCCGACACCTTCTTCTGGCCTCTTCTGGTACCTTCATTTCTATGCATATACCCACACACAAATTCACACACACATACACAAATTCACACACACACAAATTCACACACACATACACAAATTCACACACACACATACACAAATTCACACACACAAATTCACACACACATACACAAATTCACACATATACAAATTCACACACACACAAATTCACACACACATATACAAATTCACACACACACAAATTCACACACACATACAAATTCACACACACATACACAGATTCACACACACACACAAGTTCACACACATACAGACACACACAAATTCACACACACACAAATTCACACACACACAAATTTACACACACATACAAATTCACACACACATATACAAATTCACACACACACAAATTCACATACACATATACAAATTCACACACACACACAAATTCACACACATACACAAATTCACACACACACAAATTCACTCACACATACACAAATTCACACACACATACAAATTCACACACACATACACAGATTCACACACACAAGTTCACACACATACAGACACACACAAATTCACACACATATACACAAATTCACACACACATATACAAATTCACACACACACACAAATTCATGCACACACAAATTGACACACACACATACACAAATTCACACATATACACAAATTCACACACACACACACAAATTCACACACATATACACAAATTCACACACACATATACAAATTCACACACACACACAAATTCATGCACACACAAATTCACACACACACATACACAAATTCACACATATACACAAATTCACACACACACACACACACACAAATTCACACACATATACACAAATTCACACACACACAAATTCACACACACAAATTCACACACACACAAATTCATACACACACACAAATTCACACACACATACACAAATTCACACATATACACAAATACACACACACACATACACAAATTCACACACAGACACACAATTTAACATAATGGTTCTCAATCTGTGGATTACAGCTCCTTTGGGAGTCAAATGACCCTTTCACAGGGGTCACCTAAGACCATCCTAAATTTCAGATATTTACATTATAACTGACAACAGTAGCAAAATTACAGTTATGGAGGAGCAATAAAAATAAATTTTGTGGTTGAGGAGATCACTAAAACACAAAGAACTGAGTGATGGTCAGAGCATCAGGAAGATTGAGAATCATTGATTTAACATAATAAAAACAAATCTTTAAAAAAAATTTAAAAACCTATGTTCAAGAAACTTTACAGCTAGAGCTCTTTCAGAAATTTATAAGGAGTCACAATAAAATAAACACAAGGACCAGTCTTCATTGTGGTCACCAGGAGGGCTTCCTTATGACATACATAAGCAGAGACTGTAAACACCCTGGAGCCAGACTCACACAGGCTAAGGGGACAGGAAAGTGCTATGCAAAGGTCCTAAGGCAGCAAGGGGGGGATGTTCGGCTAGCTCAAAGAATGGAAAAGAATCCCTATTTCTTGGGCACAGAGGTTGTGTTGAAGAAAGCAGTGTATGAGCTGAGGCAGTGGCTCGAGGAGCCCTGAGGCTTGCTGGCCAGCCTGCCCTGCTGTGTCAGTAAGCTCCAGGCCAAGGAAAGACTTTCAAAAACCAAGATCAACAGTGCCTGAGGAATGGTATCTGAGGTTGATCAACAGCGCCTGAGGAATGGTGTCTGAGGCTGTCTCTGACCGCCACACGTTCGTGTACATACACAACAACGCTAATAAGCACCTGCAAGATTGACACTGCTACCAAATCACCGTAGTGACTGATTAAGTACTGGCTCTGTTTCAGATTAATACAGGCATCCACTCATTAACACAGTCAGCAGCTATTGTGAGCCTCAGTTTACAGGCTCAGGAAACTTAACTGATGGACTCTCAAAATTCGACGCAAAGATTTAAAGAAAACTCACTGAGAAAGCACCTGAGCCTGGTAGTATAGGACTATCATCCCAGTTATTCAGAAGGGTGAGGCAGGAGGATCACATGTCCCTGTTCAGTTTGGGCTACATAGCAAGACCATGAATCAAAACAAAAACAAAACAGGGAGGAGAATGGACAAGATGGGAGAAAAGAGGGAAGGCAGGCAGGAAGGAAGGATGAGAGAAGGGAAACAGGAAAGGGAGGGAAGCAGAGGTAGATGATGGATGGATGAATGGATGGATGGATGGATGGATAAAGGGGAGAGAGAGGGGACAGATTAGACATCTTGTGAGGAGGAAGCAGAAGATGAGGAAGCTAGCAGAGGCAGAGCTGGAGGAGGTTGTGGTGTTAGCTAGAGTCTGGCTGGTGGGATTTCTACAAGCTGAACCTGAAGTAAAATACTGACAACCTCTCTCTCTCTCTCTCTCTCTCTCTCTCTCTCTCTCTCTCTCTCTCCCTCCCTCCCTCCCTCCCTCCCTCCCTTCCCTCCTCCCTCCCCCACTTGGCTCTGTTTTACCTACATTCAATCCTGTTGGCCCTCTCACCCTTGTCTGCACCTGCTGCCTTTGTCCCTTCTGCATTGACACATGGTACTGAATGTCTTGTTCCTCCTCATTCGACCTCACCACACTCCTACCTACTTCTATGCCTCCATTCTTCCCTAACAGGGTGATTCTGGAGGACCTGTGATCTGCAATGGCAAGCTACAGGGCCTTGTGTCCTGGGGTGATTTCCCCTGTGCTCAGCCCAACAGACCAGGTGTCTACACCAACCTGTGCGAGTTTGTTAAATGGATTACGGACACCATAAACTCCAACTAATGGGTCACACCAGGAACCATGGAGCTAGTGCCACCCAACTGCAATGAGGAGCACTGTCCCTCTTTGAGAACGCTGAAGATAATGTATCAGTCTCTCCAGACCTTACTCTATGTCTTTTGGCACCAAGATCACCATCCCCCACAGTGGCCTGGCCCTGTTTCTATAGCCAGACCCTAGGAACACTTCCTGAAATGACTAGATTGGGGTGAAACCCATCACTAGCTATGGACCCATCCGTAACCCAGAGTTGAGCCTTTTCTTCAGCCACGACCCAGATTTAGACCGTGAAATAAAAACCATGGGAAGAACCCCCTTGATATTTCTCCTCCTGTGCTCTACAGCTATGAACAAGTAGATATCTTAGTTATTTCTCTATCATATAACAAGACAATGACACCATGACCAAGATAACTTATGCAGAAAGAGTTTATATGGGGCTTACAGTTCAAAGGGTTAGAGACCGTGGCCATTATGGGGAGGAGCATGGCAGCAGTCAGGTGGCCGTGGTGCTGGAGCAGTAGCTCGGAGCTCACAGATTGAGATAGAACCACAAGACCTCAAACTCTACTCCCAGAGACACACCTTTCCCAGCAAAGTCATACTTCCTAATGCTTTCCAAGCACCTCTACTAACAGACAACCAAGCATTCAACACATGAACCTAAGGAGACAACTCTCAGTCAAGCAGCACAGTGGCTCCTCCTCTAGGATGATGCATTTGGCCCAGGGGGGGTCTTTAGGTGATTTTACATTTTCTTCACAAATAGAAACTATCTTAGTTACTTTTCTTTTGGTCCGGCTAAGTGCCTGACTAAGGCAACCTAAGGGAGAAAGGGTTTATTCTGGCTCACAGTTTCAGAGTACAGCCTATCATGGCGGAAAAGCACGCCAGCAGGCGTTTGAGGTGGCTGATCACATTGCATCTAGTCTAGAAGCAGAAATGAACGTTGGTACCTCCCTGGCTTCCTCCTCTTTAGTCAGACCGTATCCCCAGCTTATGGGCTGGTGCTGCCCACGTTCAGGGTGTGTCTTCCTACCTCCGTGAACTCCCTTACAGGTATTCCCAGAGACTTATCTCGGAGGCAACTCTAGATCTTATCTAGTTAATGCTATGCTAACCATGACCATAGTCAAGGCATGTTGTGAGACAGGAAGCATAGCAGCCCCCCAATTACAACTCCGCCATAACTTCTAGACTATGTGGCTTAGTTCCCAATGCATAAGGTTCAATTTGAAATCATTTTTAACTGTACAATGCTGTAAAAACAATATATATCCAATCAAAAACACACTTCAAATGCTGACTTTTGATCTCTTACCAAGCTAGTGATGTATATTCTGATCCTATCGTAGTTTTGACATTAACCATCTCCTGAAGGTTCATGTGCCAAAGGGTTGGTCCAGGCTGGTAGTGATCTAGAGAGCTGCAAAGCCTTTGAGAGGCAGATCCCAGTGGAAGGAAGTTAGGTCACTGGGATGAGCACTTGAAGATGATGTTGGGACTCTATCCTTCTCTGTCTCTTTTTATTTCCTGGCTACCATGATTTGAGCAGCCTCTTCCACTTCATGTTCCTGCCATGATGAGCTAACTCACCACAGACCTACACACACACACACACACACACAAGCACGAATGCACACAGACACATACATACGCACTTGCACACATGCACACACACATACATACACACACATGCACACAC